CATTCCTGGGATTTCTCCTCCTTAAGGAAAGCCTTTGCTTTTCTACAGGTGGGATTAGGTTTGTAGCAGGTAGATGAAAGCTCTCCCTTGTTTGGAGGCTGCTTTTGATTTTGCCACAGGTAAAGATCAGTATAAAGGATCCACTGGGAAAGTGAAGTTGGAAATGAATGCAGATCACCTGATTTGGCACTGCAAACCTTTCCTGAACAGCTGGAATTCTGTCCACAGATGCCGCTGCTATTCTGTATCCCTCTCGCTGTTACTCTGATGGCTTCCAGTCTCTTTCCTACACTTCCTACAGCACTCGTGAATGCAGTAGAAACCCCCAGTCAAGTATATCAGGTAAAATGATCTTTGTCGGTTTTCCTAGACAGTTGAAGAAGAAGCTTTGATCAAGAACAACAACACATGCAAAGACTTCCTTATTGAGGCCATGAAATACCACTTGCTTCCTCTGGATCAAAGGCAGTTGATAAAGAATCCTAGGACAAAGCCAAGGACTCCAATTAGCCTGCCAAAGGTAAGCTCTGTTCTCTTCGAAACTAGTAAAACTTTGGAGGGAAAATACAGCATGAAAGAGCTACATCGTTTGAGGCATCTACTTGTTTCGAATGAATGGGGCTCGCGTGCTGTCAGGCTTCTTCCTCCTGGCCCTTAATGGTATTGCACTTCCCGTTGTTCTGCTCAGGCCTGCTCCCATTAAGGGCAACCTGACAACTATACACGTACAAGACTCCCCATGCCACAAGAATCCCCAGCAGAGCGTGTGCAACCACTCGGTGTTGCCTCAGTAGCACAAAGGCTCTCTACCCCTCAATCTCATTAAAATTGGTGATGGCACTGGAAGAATTGAGGGTAACCAATATCAAGCTTCTCTTAAAAAGGTGCTAGCACTGATACTGGGAATCAGAGACCAATAATGAACTAAGTGAAATTCAAGGGAAAGAACAGGGGGAGATGCTTATTTGGCTAATTGGAGCAGCAGTAGATCCACTGAAACACTGCTGTGGTGGAGGAAAAGCTGATTGCTACCTGATGAAAGTTATGAAGAAACTTGCCTTTTGGGTAAGTGTACTCTACTCCACAGCTCTCTGTAACTTCTGTGGGGCCTTCTGGTCCTGGCCACACTCTCAAAGACAGAATACTGGATGGAATGAGCCCCTGCTCTGACCCAGTATGGCTGCTGCTGTTTCAGGCTGCACCTGTTAGAAACAAATGTGTTGAGAACCAGCGGACTACCAGAAAGGTTCTGCAGGCTCCTTATGGTCTCTCAGTTGAATTTGGGAACGGCAAGCTGAAGACAGAGGTTCATAGGACTCCATGTTGTTTGAGGACCCTGTCAACTGAGGCAGGCTGCAATGTTTAGCTCTCCTTGTTTCATTTGCATAGCAAGGGACCTGGATGGCACCAAATGAAGCAGTGAACTGCCCCAACTGGTACAGACATACACAACTCCCCCATCTGAAATGAATTTTAATAGACTCTAAGCAGCTGCTAAAAGTAGATGCAGCAGAAATAAAAAAACTTTGGCGATTCTCCATGTTGACATGGGAGCTGTGCACAGCTCTGGTCTTTCCTTCAGCCAGAGAAAGATGACAAAGAAAAATGCTTCCCTTCTCTCAAAATATAAAGGCTGCTTAACATGATGTTGGACAGCAAACTGTCAGCAAAGTTATTAACAAGGCTTTTGTAGACAGTAAATTCTCAAAGTAGATTAATTGTCTTCCAGATATGAACCATGGGGAGCTTATCTTTTTGACCCTGTGTACAAATTTGTTCTCTGAGAAGCTGATACCCTCCGTGTGTTGTTCCCTAAACAGTCCATCCCCAAACCAGTATGCCATGCCTTTACATGGTCTCCGTGATCTCTGTGTAGTCTCCAGTGCAGGTGGCACCCCAGTTGAAATGCTTAGCAGCAGTAATTATTTTAGCATACCTGTGAAAATGAGAAACAAACAGCAGTGTGACTGTTAGGACTGCTTTGAGTCTGTGAAGACAAGTACCAGTGCAGTGTAGTCGGATGGAAGGATGCTAATGCTGCATTTTAAAGGTGTATGGGAAGGTGCATATCCCAAAAGGCTGTTGAGCTAAGCAGCCTGGTCTTGGTTTAGGTTAAAAATAGGGAATAAATTCAGGAAAACCATTTTAATGGCTCGCTCTCAGATGATCTGCAAGAGGTTTATCCAAGAGTGTGCATCAGATTAATCCTTGCTTGAAAGCCAGTAATTTCCATTGTTTTTATATGCTTTCTTTTGGGGGAGTTTTCCTTTAGCTCCTCTATTTTAGTGAGGAGAGCCTAGCAGAGTGGTCCCCGCTGCAGGGGATGAATGCAGGCCTAGATCCATCCCCTGCAGCAGAGATTTCTCAATTAATTGAGAAAAACTACTTCCTTTCCTCTCCTTCCTTAAGTGTCATTTTGAAGCTGTCTCCTGTGCTGAACAAGAGTGGTTGGTGGATGATGAGCAGTGCTAGTAAGCGTGGCTGTGGAGGGTGGGTGCATCCCAACTGGTTAGAAGATCCAGGAACAACTGGTGAAGGAAAAGCATAGGAGAATGCAGAAAACACTGGGCTGTCCTTAGTGTGGTAGAATCCCAGCTGAACCCCTGGGGTGTCAGTCAAGTCGACAGGGTAGGAGCATCCTAAGGTAAGTGGAAGAGCTGCTTGTTGACCACCTAGAATATATTAAGCTGAGCAGCAGCCCAAGAGTCAGCTTTGTTTGTGGGATACGAACATGATACAACAAGCTGTTTCAGTCCAAGAAGTGCATTCCT